AGAAGACTGAAAAGAGGAGAGGGGCGGAGAATGAGGACCTGATTAAAAATGAGACTGGGAGATTGAAGGAAAAAACAGAAGTGTTTAAGAAATGAAAAAAAAAAAAAAAATATAACAACAAATAGTTAGAGTAAAAGAAGAAGGGGACAGAGCGAGAGAGCGCGAGAGTAAGTAATTACAGGACTCCCAGTCTTTTCAAAGCCCCTCTTTTATCTAATTCTTCCTGTGGATGAGAAAAGGGGAAGTGGTGTGAAGGGAGAGGAGGAGGAGGTAGACTAAAGTCCAAGCTTTAGTCCGATTCAGACACCAGGCACCCGCCGGCAACATCAAAGTCTCTGTCAGACTAATTGACGCCTTCTGTTTCAAAGACATTCATCATCTGAAGGTGAGTCTTTAAGTGTATGGGAAGGCGATTCATGCAAAGCACTTAAATGGTGATAATGCATGAGAAATGTTGTGATTATTGTTTATCTTGTGACACACAGCTGGGGTGCCGTTTGTTTTCTGTCATGGTCTGCTGAGTATAAACAGTAATAAACTCAGGATCTAACATTACTGGTGGAGGCAAATAAAGTAACTTGGACTGAACTGCATTCTTAATGGCTCTTAAATTACAATCAGTAATTGGTTTTTAACAATAAGCATACCCTTTTTGGAGACCCCCCCCCCCAAAAAACTATAGAAACGATGTTATCCACCCATTTTCCATCATGCTAATCCCCAGCGGTGTAGCGAGGGGTGCTGGTGCCTATCTCCAGCTGTCTACGAGCAAGAGGCAGGGTACATCCTGGTCGCAGGGCAACACAGAGACAAACAGTACAAACAACCATTCATACCTAAGGAGAATTTCACTGTTTCAAATCAGTCATGTTTCTGGACTGTGGGAGGATGCTGGAGTACCCGGAGAGAAGCCAGGCATGCTCAGGGAGAACATGCAAACTCCATGCAGAAACAGGCCCTGGCCAAGAATTGAACCCAGAACCGTGTTGTTGCAAGGCAGCAGTGCTACCCACTGTTCAAGCACCTGTAAAAATATAGTGTGTTTTAATATTAAAGGGCAGATTTACCTGTTTTTGCTGTTAAAATCTGCTATTGATGACTTCTGTTTTTTCATAAAAAACAAGTCTGCTGGAATCTATGTTGATGATATTATGTTTTACAAGATATTATTTTTTTATGAAGATGTACAACAAACAAACAAAAAAGAAAGAAAAAAGAAAGCTAGTTTCTTTTAGTATGTATAAAGAGTTACGTCATTAGCTTGTGTCCGTCCAGAATCGCTGTATTTGAGTTCAAAGTTATATTTGTTTTGGAGTGATTCAATAGGAAGGGGGAGATCTTGTGTGTTTTTTCCTGTGACAGTGGATGGTAAGATGTATGTGGAATCACAGCTGACTTTAATCCAGCTCAGCATATCCATTTACCCCATAGAAAAATAAAAATGAGCTCTTGAGGCATGCTGGGGTTGAATATTTTGTAATTCTTGATGCATCTCAAAGGAGGCTTCAGCTCTACATATTATGCCACGTTCACTTATGGAAGTAAAGTTATTTCAGATCAGTGAAATCATTTAATTCCATCTGATAGTCTTTGGTTGTAGCCATTTTCCATTTTGGGATACTATACTTTATGATTATACTGTGGAACCCTACATGATCCGGACATGTTAAATTAATGTTCAGGATCAGTTACAGTGGCTTGTTACTTTAACATTTCTATCTTGTTTAATCTCTGACCCGAAGCCTTCCTCTTGGTTACTAATAATGATAATAAATGTAGTGCTGTTGCTGATATATTGCCTGGTATTTATTTAGCTTTCATTTTTAGCCTAAACTCGAAATACTTTCTCTGTCAGTTTTTATATGTAGTTGTTTGTATGCAGGTAAAAACAATGTTTTAATTTAAATAATGTTTTAATTACAGCATTTAGCTGTAATTAACATGTTAGAGGATTCTTAGTTTTCTTCAAGTGATGGTATCTTTCATGTGGGACAGATTCGGGGTGAAAGATTTCCAACTGAGTTGTGTATCTCCAAGTTCCTCTATCCCTTCAGTCGCCATAATGGCTGCTTTTGTCTTACCTTGAAGGAGGATAATATTTAAAAATAGATTAACTTTTATAATCTTTTTAGATAATTAATTGAACAGTGACCTCTTATGATGCACCCCACTCCTTTCTGCCCCAAACCTGCTTTAAACTGGTCCACAACTCTATCCTCAACATCATGAGGTGGGCCTCATGATGTTGACTGTTCTCTAAATGTTCCTAAAAACTTTTGAGGCCTTCATGGAAAAGCTGAATTCTCAATGACAGGTGGACTCTCTTTAATTCTCTATAAGCAAATACTAAAGACAACTGTTTCGGATTTATTGATGGGTATTACCGCAAAAAAATGCATGAGCGCAAATATGCACTCAAGATGTTCTTAATTTTTTCCATAAAATCCAAATAGGATACATTGAAGTCTGTTTTTGCAAAGTGACAAGAAAAGTTCAGTTACTGTGAACGCTTTTGCAAGTTACTGTTTACATTTTGGAGATATAATTGCAGGGGATAAATAAACTGATAGCCTGCAGCTCTCTTCCTGTATTTACAAATATTATATGATCAACAAACATTTCCCGCAATGAACCAATATTTCAATTTATGAAACTGATAATGTGTTTAAACTAGCAGTTGAAAAGGAGCTCCAATCCTTTATAATTAATAATCATCTCACATAGTTTTTCTTTTAAGTATTTAAATGAAAGAAATCAGCCTTATTTCTTAGGACCTGAACAGTGATCAGTGTTCAGCTTCTCATCTGGCTGCAATTATCCACTCCCCTCTCTATCTTTTATGCTTAAGCTCTAAGCAATCAGATAATAATGTTGTGTTGCTGTTAATTTGTATCCGATTGCAAGTTGTGACGAGCCTCATCCTGTGCAGCAGCAGGATTGGTTTGTTAAGCATGAAACTTTGGCTTTTTGAAACTGAGCCTCTAACAATAACCTGTAGGACCAGGGTGGGAATTCTATAAAGGAGAAGTAAGAGCTAAAAAAACAACTAAAACCTTGTTTTATTATTTTTTTTTTTTTTTCATTTTTTGCCTGTGCTTTTAAGTTTGCTGTTACTTGGACTATTTTAAAAGAAAGGGAATTGTTTTTATTTTGTCTGTTTGGTTGAAAATGTAGGCTACATTCAAGTTTGCAGGTTTATAATTCAATATCTACATAGTCCTTAATGAGCTGCTTTGTGAAGCTTATTTTTTTACTTTATAGACTTTTTTTTATGAAATGATTTCTTTCTCCAGTTTTAAGAGTAATGGAAACTACTTGCACAAAATTCCATCTTTAAGCATTTCTTTATTACAGAGATTCTTGTATACAGTATCATCATCCCAGGATTTTTTGAGGCTTTTATTTGGTGACTGAATTTAAAAAAACCTTAAAATGTTTTTTATTGGTCGTATATTATTATATGAATGAATGTGTAGCTGAAGCTGTCAAAAATCCACTCGGATGCTTTTGTTTTCTTGGCTGCCTCACCAAACACTCATTATTCCCAGTCTCCT